ACAGAATGCTGCAATACTCTACTAATGGCATCACTCAGAGAATTATACTAGAAGTCCTGGTACAGACCCCTGTGGTACTCCACTAATTACATCATTGATATAATTAAGAAGAACTGTGGTCCTGGAACTGATCCCTATAGTACCCCACAGATTTAAATCAGTGATGTCATTAAGAAAAATATCAGTCTTAGTACAGATCTAGTACTGTGATGCTACACACTGGTTATTCGAGGGTTGACTCCCAGCCCATTTCCAAGCTTAAAATGAGTTTGCAATTCTAGACTAGTTTAAACATGATTCAATCAAACAAGTGAAACAGGTTTTTGAATTTGTGTTTTTATTGAGTTGCAGTACCAAACACATTCATTTTTGATGAAACATAATCATGTTTTTTTACAGACTTCAGTTTTCACAGTGACAACCATGTGTTAGAAAAACAGTTGTATGCACCCACAGGATAAAAGGATAAAAGTGGCTTTCCATTATCTTGACAATCATCTATAAACCAATATTCTCACCATCATAATCCCAAAGACTTTGAACACGTTTGTAGTGAGCATCTTTAATAATCAACACAGGTTGTTGCACCTACTTCCTTCTTGGAGATACACAGACAGAAACTAAAGAGCAAAGCAGCTGATACATTACAATATATTCAGTGGTTTATAAGAAGACAGACGTTTAAAATTGTCCATGATTCACGCTATAGTGATAGAGGGGGTTACACTGTTTTTGCAATTGACAGAAAGACTTGCAGTCCTGAAGCAGCCCTTCCCGAATAATGCCCATTGGGGAGTCATTAATGCCCAAACAGGCTCTCTGCACTGCTTGTGTAGGTATGACCCCTCCTCCACTGCTGTCCCACATCCATTTCTCCACTTGGAATAAGGGCGAATGGCTGTGTGAGGTAGGCCATTGCTCCCGAAGCCGAGGACGCAAGTGAAAACTATGGAGAAGTGCATTTAAAACGGAGGACAGGACCAGGCTCCTCTTTACACAAAGGGTGGTGGGAGCGTGGAACAAGCTGCCCATCCTGTTGCTGTTGAAGCTGATACCCTGGCTTGTGGTCTAATGTCTCGAGTATAAGGCTGCCCAGGGCTCCTAATAATTATAATTACTTGCATTTATAAAGCAGGTTACATCCTAAATACATACTGTACATGAAATGAAGTCCCAGTGCACACAGATCAGGGAGAGAAACTGATGCCCCAGGTGAATGAAGCATGATCTTCAAGGAGGTCGGATTATTCAAGCCCGGAGTGGAGTTTAGGCACAACAAAGCTGGAGGTCTTGTTGAGCTGTACACTGATTGTCATCATAACTATGTGCCAACAGGAGTCAGGACAGAACTCCAAAATGACTTTGGCTTGTGTGGCACCTTATGGGATGTAAAGATGGACATGATTGAACAAAATGGCATCAGCCTTGAGAATGAACCTGGAAGTACTTATTCCCTGAACAGAGAGCAGGTCACCTTTACAGAAGTTTGAAAACAATGGGAGACATCCCACATTAGTACTAGCTCAGTGAAATGGTGGTGAAGCAATAGATAACAAGGACTCATCCTACCTGAATCCCACAAGAGTCTTCTAGGAGTTAGCAAATGTTTGACCGAAACTGTACTAACTGTACAGTTGTTAAATGAAAATTCTTTGCTGCCCTGGATTCTAGAGGCTCATGGAAATGAATTATTGTATCACACACTCAATCAATCCAGTAGGACGAATCATGAGTTCAGGCAGGAATTCCAGCTGCACAGCCACATATTAAAGCACTCTCACTCAGCTACTTAACCTGGACTGACGCCCTGGAATACTGCTGAAACACTGAGACACAGGGAGATCACTGCACACTAATCAAACAACTCACAACACCC